TAGTGTTCTAATCAGTTCTTGCTTTGCTGAATGTGTTGTTCTTTGTGTTCACTTCAAGCTCATTCTAAGTTAACACTGCTGATTACATACAATTGGAAAATGGATTCTATTATTTGGCTTATGTTTCTTTAAAGCATAATTTGAGAATAGTTAAAACTGACATGTGTGATTTTTTTCCATTTTTATCACAGATATCTAGCAGCTCTTTGTCCAATCCTAAGAAATCTAGATTTCTCATTAAGTTGAGGCACAAATATTGATAACCAGTCCCATTGTGATTATTGTTAATATTTCACCTACAAATTCAAGGTATTAGAAAACAAAAACACCCAAGAGTATACCCATTAGCGCCTTGTAGGCTATTAATAATTTCTTTTAAACATCGTCTAACTTCTTTGCTGCCACCCAGAATGTTTACTCTTGTTGCTACAGTGGGGAATCTCTTGTGTGACTCAAAGGTAAATGGCGTTTCCATTTCTCTAAGTCATTGGTAAAAGGCTAACTGTTTATTCACTGGCTTTTAAAGCCAAGTCCCCAAACTTTTTCCTTTACATATATGGCGGGGGGGGGGGGGAGTGAGAATCAAAAGACTGTGTTTCTTTGTTCTCATCCAAGTCCACCCTGTGAAGCTAGAAGCAGGAGGTAAGGGATGGTCCACCAGGTGTTTTACTGCCCCCAAGAAAGTACTCTGGGAGTTTCCTTGTACCTTTTGTCAGGGATGGCTGCCTCTCTAATTGGACTGCTGTAGGGAAGGAACCACGTGCCTTGGAGAACATTATCTGATTCCTACAGGATGTTCAGGAGTGCTTTGTTTACTGACCCTTAATTTGAACACAAATAATATCTTTCCAATCCCCTGGATGTTGCCTCAGGCTTGGACACATAAAAAAGAATAAACTTAAGCCAAGGGAGTGGACACATTTGAACCTGTCTCAGGATTTACCTTTCTGCACACTCCCCCAGTCGTTGTCTCTTTCCTACATATTATTTTTTTTTTCTTTTTATAACACCTATCAAGAGGGTAAGCTGACCATGAAGAAGAGAGAGGGATAGGAATTGTAAAAGTCTGAGAGGGGAGAAGGCGAGACGAGCAGCTGTTCCTGTCAGCATAGGGATAAGTGTAAAGAGATTAATAGTTATTTGAAGAGCAAATGGGGCCGTGGTATTCAGCAATGGAATGTGAACGTATAAATGTAATGGAATGGGCATGCGGCCATCAACATTTAGACAGATGGTCACTGGACTGAATGGAATGGAGGGGTCCATTTTTACCTCGTATGTGAAATAATTAAAGCTTAATGAAATAACCTTATTAAACATAAAGGGGTTTTTTCCCAAATATTCTCAATTCACTATGTATTAATTCAGAAGCTTATTCTTCTACTCAGTTTTACTTAATCTGCATTTTTTATAATTTTAGTTCTATTGATGAGTTAGGCTCTATGTGTGCACTCTTTCTCTCTCTCTCTCTTATATCTATTATAGTGGCCATAGATCACTGTTGATTAATTTTATAAGGCACAATGTATGGAAATGATCCTATGAAACACAATGTGAATTAAGGAATGTGTGAAATACAATATATATGAATGAAAAATCCTTTCAATGAAAAAAAGCAACAATAAAAAAAAAATAAGGAAGACCAAAATGGATGTCAGAAGAAACTCTGAAGATTGCACTGGAGCGTAGAGAAGCCAAAGCACAAGGAAGAATTCAAGATACTAAAGAGC